AAATAATGTATTGTTTATCAACATCACTAACCATCTAACAAATAGTTATTTTCTTTAAGCACCAACTATTCGATATTATGATAAACTGGAAGTTTGGACATTTAGTTGATATACCCCTATGATGTTTTGACCCCACCACAAATGAAATATCTTATAACACTGATCCTATGAATCAAAATATCGTAAAGTTTCTGTTTGGATAGTTTCCACTGAGAACGACTATACTACAGTGTTAAACATTGATTTGATACAAAGTACCTATAATTGTAGCGATACTTATACTCTGGCTTACTATTTAGTAATATGTTTGGTCACACACATTTTTATAGCCATTTAAACTAACATAACCCTCCTTATAAATCTTCTTTATATTACATAGTATCTCTGGCACGTAAATAGCTGTTGATCAAATATATGTGTCTATGATCCTTACACTTTGCAGGGAATACTCTGACATTCCCAAAGTTATAATTACTCGTGTGAAATTTGATTCTCCCCGTCTTTTGAGTGAATATTCCATATGTGTATCTTCAATATCTTGTTGGAAAAAGCTTTAATGGAGGATTCTGTAACTTGTATAATTTTAAACTAGTTCAGTTTAATACCAGGTCCATATTTACACTAAGGTGGACCATCTTCAGCTATTCAGTAAGGGGTTAATCAAACTTACCGAGATGATTCCCCCTCTACGTCATCTATTACGTTGCTCAGAACTTACCAATGAGAAGCTGCCACATCGCACCAATAGGAGCATCTCTCTCCATATTTAAACTGAATGTTGTGTACTGACCGGTTCCCTTCTGATGAGCCAGGTCGGGCGAAATGCGTGCGTCCGGGATCTCAGCGTGCTGTTTTCATGATTTAGTAACTAGCACTTGAACTTGCGACCGAGCTACTGAATTGATCAGTTTACTTTTCTTTTATTATTTAAACTTTTTATTTTCGTTTTTGCAATCTGAAAGTAAAATGTTAGATAAAATCTAACTAGATGCCCAGGAGTAATATAGGAATATTAGATATTATTATAAAACAAAATATACAGAAATAATTACCTCTTTAACAGCTTGTATGAAGTTTGATCAACAAATATCAGTATTTCCCTTAGCGTTCAATCTTGGGAATCAAAGTCCACAATGTTGCAATAGTATACAATAATAACTGTATATAAACATTCATTGAATTGTGAAAAAGCTACATTAAATCCACAATAATAGTAGCTAATATAGTCTCTGTTGAATATGGTTCTATAGCTGTGGTTGAAATGTAAGCTGATAGCAGTTGACTCCAGTTACTGGATTGGCTGGGGTATATCTGCTAAATTAGCAAGTATGATATAGTACAAAAAAATAATGATGGTCTCCTTTAGATAATGAACTAGCTTGGAAAATTGTACACTGCTGATTTGATAATAAACTTGAAAATCATAGGCAAGGATTTAAAGTTATGAGTAATCCTAATAAAAAATCCATAATGTTTACTCCATCAAGAAAACATTTTATTCAGTAAATATAATAAAAAAAAGGTAGTTGGTAAAAATCACTCACTATCTGTGCCAAGTGGTTATTAGAATACTACTGAGTTCATTGGTGACAGCGTGGTTTGGGTCCCTCAGTCCGGCCGGTGATGGAGAAATGCTGACAGGAGCCGCGTGCGTGTCACCTTACTGTGTTTCGTGCATTCCAATACCACTCGGTAACTTCTAGCGGTGCATGCCAAAAAGCGATTCCATCCTTACGCGTTTCGTGAAATACATCTCCCTTCAACTATATGACATGATACAAATAATGGTATGTAAAGAAAGCCCTTTTTGTCCTGAAAAAAACAATATATAACTTGTATGGGAACAGTAAATGAGAAAGCAGAAAATTACAGCTAAACACAAACACCACAAAAGTGTCAAAACTGCTCTGGTCCTTAACGTACAACATTGCAAAAACAGGCCGGTCCTTAAGGGGTTAACAGGGTATAGACTTCCAATACCCATTATATGTTAACCGTTTGCACACAGGCACATTCCTCACACATTATTTTTGTTGTAAGTGATTTCAATAAAATGTATGTATTTTTTGATTTTATTAACCCAGCACTATGTCTGGTAGTGATTAGTCCGTTGTTTCTGAGATTTAACAGTAAGTCATGAATTTTTTGTTTCAATTTAAGACTGTGTAGGTACACTACCTTTCTATCTGATATTTTCTACTTGGGGTTACTCCCTGTCCCTTTAGTGTACCTAATCTTTGGCTCTATCTCTGTTTTTCTTCTGGCAATTCCCTTGGATTACAATGATTGCTCTTGTAAGCCTGCTTCGCTCTCTGGACTAGGAGAAGTCTACCCATTGGAAGCTGGATCCTGGTCTTGGATCTAGGGTGGGTGGACAGCGAGACCCCACCAAGCTGCGGCGGTTTGTGGGGTTTCCGGTGGCTATAGTGTCCGGTGCGGTGCCAATGGTACTCAAGGATTACTAGGAAGTAGTAACTGATGGAGATACCTGGTCGAGGTGCCAGGCGGTCTGTCACACTGTTCATCCCTATATATGCAAAAGGGGAGTGATTTCTTACAATAATATATATTCACTAGCAATCCACTTATATACTGGTGTTGGCTTTGTCGTCTTGTCATTCAGTAATTTTTGTTTTTGCATTATTTACAATAGTGATAATTTTTTTAGAAATTGCAATGTTTATGTTTCAGGATTATATCCACCTCTAGTGGGTGTCATACTGAGGTGCTCCTGCAGCACTGGCCAAGCAAAGCATGGTCACGTGATGCAGAAGTCCCCATAGGAAAGCGTTCATTCAATGTTTTCCTATGGGGAAGCTTGGATCTGCGCACGATGATCGCTGGTCATTTGCAACAGGTCTCCGATGCTCCTCTTGGCGCAAAGATGGAGGGGACCATGCCTCCTCCATAAATTCACGGGATGAGAAGAGGCTAAGCACGGTACCAGGGGTAGTGGACCTATATAACTATGGACAGGGACACTAAAGCATTAGGAATACAATTTTGTATTCTTAAGCCCTTAGAGTTCTTTATATTTAAAATGCTCCTGCTGACTCATCTGCAGATATTTGCTTCATCAGTGGCTCATTAACTGACAATATTAGCCCTGCCTCTCATCAGCATCATTGTCAGTCCATTGTTTCAGTTACTAGAAGAATTTGACCAACTCCTGACTCTTTGGGTACCTCTATTTTGGATTATCGTTCTTAATATTTTATTGTTTACTAGCTGCCGGCCCTAAACTTTGGATTTGTCTTATAGTCTGATTTTGGATTTTCCCTTGTATGAACTGTGCTGTATGTACTGTACTGCTTCTGGATCTGTCTTGCTGTACTGCCCCCGTTCAAACCTTCACTCTCCAGGTGATTTATTTAACTAGTCTCAATGATGTTTTGAAATGGTGAGCACTCTGCACTCTGGATTCCAACCCCAGGTAAGCACTGACATCAGCAGGTACAGTGAGTGGACAGGAAAATAAAATTATGTTGGAGGCTGGAAGTATGGATATATGAGAGAAACAAAATAGGGAGAGATAAGTGAGGGGGAGAAATAGAGAGAAACAGGTACACTTACGGTAAACTAATGTAGAGAAACCAGTAGGGATTAATATAAAGTTGGAGGAATAATAAAAGACAGATTGGGGAGGCATAAGGAGAGAGAGGTTGGTGGTGGGAAAATGGGAATAGAAAGGTAAGAAGGAATTTATAGAGAGACAGGAGAGAGGAAAATAGAGATACAGGTGGGGCTAGAAATGGGGAGATGCAAGTAATGGGAGGAATGGGGAGGCATAGATGGGGTAATAATAAAGGTACACAGGTAGAGGAATAGTATGGAGAAACAGGTGATGAGGGTAATATGAAAACTGGAAGTGAGATAAAGCATAAAAGGTGCAGAAAAAATTTAGGACTATGGATCACAACTCCATTTATCTGCCATTGTGTACACACTACTTTATAGAGGTCAATTAGTGTTTAATTTTATAACCTTCTTGCATATTTCACTCCTTATTTAGCATAGGAAAAAACATTTTGCAAAAAGAAAAGCAGTTTTACTTGTCAGAATTGATAAACTACTAGCGTAGTTAAAGGATCACTATAGGGTCAGGAACACAAACGTATTCCTGACCCTATAGTGTTAAAACCACCATATAGCCCCCCTGGACCCCACATGCCTCCATAAATATAGCAAAATCTTACTGTATTTAAGCCTGAAGCTGTAACTTTGCATGCTGTTTGACTCATAAAAACAAGCAGTTTGCTGACATCATCAGAAGTGGTAGTCTGATCCAATCACAGTGCTTCCCCATAGGATTGGCTGAGACTGACAAAGAGGCAGATCAGGGGCAGAGCCAGCATGATTCAAACACAGCCCTGGCCAATCAGCATCGCCTCATAGAGATGGATTGAATCAATGAATCTCTATGAGGAAAGTTCAGTGTCTGCATGCAGAGGGAGGAGATAATGAATGTTTGGATGCATTTTAGGCAGCCATGACCCAGGAAGGATCTCTAACAGCTATCTGAGGAGTGGCCAGTGAAGTTATCACTTGGCTGTAATGTAAACACTGCATTTTCTCCGAAAAGACAATGTTTACAGCAAAAAGACTGAAGGTAATAATTCTACTCACCAGAACAAATTCAATAAGCTGTAGTTGTTCTGGTGACTAAAGTGTCCCTTAAAAAAATAAAATAAAAGTTTAATAGACTAAACACTGTTTTGATTTTTGGAATATCTAATATATCTTTGTTTCTATGTTTAGAAATTTTGCACATTTTTGTAGTTACTGGTCATATAACATACTTTTGATTATTAGATTTTCAAATTATAAGGGAAAAGAGAAAAGAAAGGAAAAAGACAATCAGTACAGAATGTAAACCTAATCACATCACATCAGTAGCTTTTATGAGTAATCTACATAATTGTTGGTAATTGTGCCATTAGTGGGTTTCCACAATCTGTAATGCTAAACATATGCAACAGTAAGGAACAGAATAATTTGGTATGGTGTTTGGTTATCCCATTAATACATTATTTGCCTTTACTACAAGGAGGAGGCCCCAGGGAGAGTGCGCAGCTTAGCGGACAGGGGCACGTGTATGAGTGTGGGATGGATGATGCATGATTGTCTATATGCTACATGTGGGAGTGTGAGATGTGAGGAAGTGGGTGGTGACAGATCAGACTGATCTCAGTGCCACTTAGGAGCCGGGCCAGCAACAAGTTTCTCTGCCTCTCCTGTTGCTGGGCTTGCTGGATTGTCGGCTTGTGGGTGTCCTGGATGTCTGCTCTCAGGGCTCCCTGGGCACCCCTCCATGGGCTATGAAAGCAGCCTCTATTAAGTAGACTCTTTCAAGTAGGAGTTAGAAAACCAGGAGTTGAAACTAACAAGGGGTTTAAACTATCAAGGTAATTGTTTTTATTTACTGTTTAAAGGGGAAATGAGTGTTAGCAAGATTGCTGGTTTAACTCAATGCACATCTTGTTGCATGTATGCATGCCTGGATGTACCCGTCCAGGGTCCATACCTCTGTGATGGTTGTGTGCGAGTGGCTTCTCTGGAAGCTCAGATTGGAGATCTCGAGAAGCAAATCGCAACATTGAGGGAGATTGACAATCTTGAGAGGAGTCTACTGCTCACTGAGCAGAGTTTAGTGGGGACAGGTAGTGGAGAGGGAGGAGATAAGACAGATGGGGAACAGGCATGTAGCTGGGTGACAGTGGGGCGAGGAAGCAGGGGGGGAGGGAAGAGGAAAGGGCTAGCTAGTCCTGATTTGGTGCAACCTAGCAGATTTGCCCGTTTGAGGGAAGATGTTGGGAGCATCAGCTCAGGAGTAGCTGTATTAGAGGAAGCTGTTACTTCTAACAGCCGAGCTAACAGCCCCCCTAGTACGGGTGGGGATCAAAATGTAAGGAAGGCAAGACAGGTTGTGGTGGTAGGGGACTCTATCATTAGGAGAGCAGATAGGGCAATCTGCCGCTCTGATCGGCTCAACCGGACAGTTTGCTGTCTCCCGGGTGCTCGGGTCCGGCATGTTGCTGACAAAGTGGATGGATTATTGGGAGGGGCTGGGGATGACCCAGCGGTCATGGTCCATGTTGGTACCAATGACAAAGTAAGAGGAAGATGGAAGGTCCTAAAGAATGATTTCAGGGAATTAGGTAGCAAACTTAAGAAAAGGACCTCCAAGGTGGTATTCTCTGAGATATTACCTGTGCCACGTGCTACAGTGGAAAGGCAGCGGGAGATTAGAGAGGTCAATGCGTGGCTTAAGTCTTGGTGCAGGAAGGAGGGTTTTGGGTTTTTAGAGCACTGGGCCGACTTTGCGATTGGGTACAACCTTTATAGTGGTGATGGATTGCACCTAAACGGGAGAGGGTCTGCAGTGCTGGGGGATAGGATGGCTAGAAGGTTGGAGGAGATTTTAAACTAGTAGTAGGGGGGGAGGGTCATAGCAATCTACAAAATGGAGATAGGACAGAAAGGAGATGGGCTTTAGCACAGTATAAGGGGGGTGGAAACGGGGGGAGGGGCAAGCTCAGAACAGAGAAGCTGTGTAATGTTGAAAATTCACAAAATATACAAGTGACGCATAATATTAAATGTATGCTTACTAATGCAAGGAGCCTAAATAACAAAATGGGGGAACTAGAGGCATTAGCATACACTAAACAATATGATATAATAGGCATAACTGAAACATGGTGGGATGAGACACATGACTGGGCAGCTAACTTAAATGGGTACATGTTATTTAGGAAGGATAGGAAAAACAAGAAGGGTGGTGGGGTATGTTTGTATGTCAAACATGATTTAAAGCCAAATGTTAAGCAAATGGAATGCGAGGAGGATAATGTGGAAGCTTTATGGGTAAATATCTGCTTGGGGGAAAAGAAGGGAAACCAACTATTGGTTGGGATATGTTATAAACCACCTAATGTTAATATTGACGAGGAACAACAGCTGTTTGAGCAAATTGAGAAAGCTGCAAATCTGGGTAACACTTTAATTATTGGAGATTTTAATTACCCGGATATAAATTGGGACAGAGGGACTAGTGCCTCAGCAAAGGGAATTAGGTTTTTAAACTTGTTAAATTACACCTTCATGTCACAACTTGTACAAGCACCAACTAGAATGGATGCTTGTCTGGACCTGGTTTTAACAAACAACGTTGATCTTTTGACCAACATTCAAGTAGGTGAGCACTTGGGAAATAGTGATCACAATATAGTGTCCTTTGAAATAAACTCAAAAAAACAAAAGCACATGGGGAATACTAAAACATATAATTTTAAAAAGGCCAATTTCAATAAGTTAAGGGAAGCTTTACAATATATTGACTGGCATAAACTCTTTAGTGAAAAGAACACTGAGGATAAATGGATCATCTTCCAACAAATATTACAAAGGTACATTTCTCAGTATGTACCATTGGGAAATAAATATAAAAGAAACAAATTAAAACCAACATGGCTTAGTAGAGAAGTAAAACAAGAGATTACAACTAAGAGAAGGGCATTTAAAGCATTTAAATCGGACAAATCAGATGCATCTTATAAAAGATATAAGGATGCAAATAATGCGTGCAAAAAGGCAATTAGACTTGCTAAACTTCAAAATGAAATAATGATAGCTGAAGAGAGCAAAACCAACCCCAAAGCATTTTTTAAGTACATAAATTCTAAAAAAACAAAATGAAAGTGTAGGTACACTAAAAACTGAAACGGGGGTGTTAGTTAATGAAGACCAGGAAAAGGCAGGAATTTTAAATAACTTTTTCTCCTCCGTATATATTAAGGAAGAACCCATGGCAATAGATGTGCAAATGATTGCTACTAAAAACTTGCAGAATAATTGTAATTGGTTAACTCAAGACAAGGTGCTGCAGCAACTAAAGAAAGTTAATATAAACAAAGCTCCAGGGCCTGACGGTATCCATCCACGTGTACTTAAGGAACTAAGTGCAGAAATAAGTGAACCTCTGTTTTTAATCTTTCAAGATTCTTTTCTTTCAGGAAGTGTTCCGGAGGATTGGAGGAAGGCAGATGTGGTTCCTATATTCAAAAAGGGTTCAAAATCCTTGCCTGGAAATTATAGACCTGTGAGCTTAACTTCTGTGGCTGGTAAAATATTTGAAAGGTTATTAAGGGATAATATTCAAGAATTCCTTGAGAAGAACATGGTTATCAGCAAAAATCAGCATGGTTTTATGAAGCACAGGTCATGTCAAACTAACTTGATTGCGTTCTACGAAGAAGTAAGTAGAAGTATAGATCAGGGTGTTGCCGTGGATGTGATCTATTTGGATTTTGCCAAGGCATTTGATACAGTTCCACACATAGATTAGTGTTCAAACTCAAGGAAATCGGTCTAGATGAAAATGCTTGTTCTTGGGTAGAACATTGGCTTAAAAACAGAGTACAAAGAGTTGTCATTAACGGTAAATTTTCAAGCTGGACAGAGGTGGCAAGTGGTGTCCCTCAGGGGTCTGTTCTGGGACCCCTTCTATTTAACATGTTTATAAATGATCTTGAAGACCGCATTGAAAGTCATGTTTCAGTGTTTGCAGATGACACCAAACTTTGTAAAACAATACAATGTGAGCAAGATATTACTTTGCTGCAGAGGGATTTAGATAAACTGGGGGAGTGGGCACTCAAATGGCAGATGAAATTTAATGTTGAAAAATGCAAAATTATACACTTCGGCGTAAAGAATAAACAAGCAACGTATACCCTTAATGGAAGCGAATTAGGGATAACAACACATGAAAAGGACTTGGGAATTGTTATCGACAACAAACTATGCAACAATGTGCAATGTCAATCAGCAGTGGCCAAGGCCAGTAAGGTATTGTCATGCATGAAAAAGGGCATCCATTCTCGGGACAAGAATATAATTTTGCCTCTTTATAAATCACTGGTAAGACCCCATATTGAATACGCTGTGCAATTTTGGGCACCTGTTCTAAAGAAGGATATTATGGCACTAGAAAAAGTGCAGAGGCGGGCTACAAAATTAATAAAAGGAATGGAACATATCAGCTATGAAAAAAGGTTAACAAATTTAAACCTATTTAGTTTAGAAAAACGTCGCCTGAGAGGGATATGATAACATTATACAAATATATTCGGGGCCAATACAAACCATTGTGTGGAAATCTATTCACAAACCGGACTTTACATAGGACACAAGGCCATGCGTTTAGACTGGAAGAAAGAAGATTTCGTCTAAGGCAAAGGAAAGGTTTTTTTACTGTAAGAACAATCAGTGGAATTGTGGAAGATGTGGAATTCTCTGCCTGAGGAAGTGGTTTTATCAGAGTCCATACAGATGTTCAAACGGCTACTAGATGCATACTTGCAAGAACAGAATATTCAAGGATATAATCTTTCAATGTAGGGTAATAACTGCTTGATCCAAGGATAAATCTGACTGCCATTCTGGGGTCAAGAAGGAATTTTTTTTCCTAGCTTGTTGCAAAATTGTGCTTCAAACTGGGTTTTTGCCTTCTTTTGGATCAACAGCAAAAAACAAATGTGAGGAAGGCTGAACTTGATGGACGCAAGTCTCTTTTCAGCTATGTAACTATGTAACTATGTAACCCTCCATGGGCACCCTCCCTCGGCTCTGTGTGCCCCAACTCTCCTCCTCGGGCCCGGTACAGGATCTGCAGCCCGGGCCCGAGGCTTCAACAGGGCCGAACCCCTGGACCACGTGGCGCGTGGCCTGCTCCGCGCCCGGTCCTTCCGTCGCCCCTGCTGTCCGGGCAGCGGCATCTAATGTGGACCGTGCCCCCCCTGGATGTAGTGGGGGGGCAGAAGCACGGCGATCGACCCGAGCGGCATGTGGGATGCCGTCCGGGGTTCTCCCCTCTCAGTCGGCAGTGGTAAGTGGGCCCCCTGCGGGGCACGCGGGGTGGCTCTCAGCCGCTGCCGCCGGGTGGGGAGCGGTTCTGTATCCCCCTCATGGGCTCCAGGGGGTCTACTTGTCCCGGCCCTCCCCTCCCTCTTTTGCCCTGGCAGGGTCCGCGGGCGACGTGTGCTCCCGTCCCCTTCCCCTCTATTATTGTGTCCCCATCTTTTAGTGTGTACGCCCTTTTTCATTGTTGTTCCCCCCACCCCCCTTTTCAGTGTGGTGTCTCCCTCTTCTATTTTGCTTCCTCCTCTTTTATTATGGTTCCCCCCCCCCTCTTTCTTTGTTGTGTCCCCCCCCTTTTCTTTTGTTTCCTCCTCTTTCTTTATTGTCCCCCCCTCCTCCTTGCTGACCTTCTTTGCCCATCCATACCCCTTCGACAACCCACCTACCGTATCCCTGAAGCAGTCTGAGAAGGAATGCTGAAGGAGATACAGGAAATGATCCAGCTAGGGGTCATTAAGCACTCTGACAGCCCTTGGACTTCCCCTGTCTCAACGAGAAGACCACGACTGACGCTTACCAATGCCCCGGGTAGACGAGCTATTAGACTGCATAGCCAGGGGGCGCTATCTGACTACCATAGACCTATGTAAAGGCTATTGGCAGATTCCCCTGGCCGAGGATGCTATCACCAAGTCGGCATTCGCCACCCCGTTTGGCCTGTACCAGTTCAAGGTTATGCCTTTCGGGATGAATGCCCCGGCTACTTTCCAGTGTATGGTGGAGAGACTCCTTGATGGATTCCAGGACTTTGAATGTTCATACCTGGATGACATTGTGGACTACAGTGGGTCTTGGGAGGAGCACCTAACGCATGTAGGGGTAGTTCTGGATAAGATTCGGGCCGCTGGCCTGACCCTTAAGTGCCATCTGGGCATGGCGGAGGTACAGTACTTGGGACACAGGGTGGGGTGCGGAAGCCAGAGACCCGAACCAGCCAAGGTGGAGGCAGTAGTGAACTGGACCACACCCCGCACCAAGACCCAGGTAGTGGTCTTTTTAGGCACAGCAGGGTATTACCATCATTTTGTACCTGACTATAGCATGATAGCCAAACCCCTGACAGATCTGACCAAGAAGAATCTCCCTAAGCAGGTCCTGTGGTCTCCAGCTTGTGAAGCCGCGTTTAATGCCTTAAAGCAAGCTCTCGTGAATGCCCCCGTCTTGGCTGCCCCAGTACCTAACAAATGTTTGTTCGTCCATACAGACGCTTCCATGTTTGGACTGGGGGCTGTGCTAAGCCAGGTCGGGGAGGATGGAGGAGAGCACCCTGTCGCATACCTGAGCAGGAAATTACTACCATGGGAAGTGAGTTATGCGGCAGTGGAAAAAGAGTGTTTGGCTCTTGTCTGGGCCCTTAAGAAGCTAACCCCCTACCTATATGGTAAAGAATTCTCCTTGATTACAGACCACAACCCATTGGTATTGCTTAACCGGGTCGCAGGGGACAACGGCAGGTTGCTACCTTACAACTTTTTCTATCACCTACAGACCCGGTAAGCACAATGGTAATGCTGATGGGTTGTCACGGCAGATGGACCCTACTCCAGCTCTTCAGTCCAGGCATCCCTAAGTTGACCTCTTAATGGATCAAACCGCGCCTGCCGGAGTGTCCCACAAAGGGGAAGCCGTGTGACAGATCTCTCTGTCTTGAACTGAAATGACTGTATTTCTCATTCGTTTGTTGATTCATGTTTCCCCATTCCTGTGGACTCTATGCCGTTCCCTTTCTATGTACCGAATAAAACTACCGAACGGCCGGCCACCCAGTAGAGAAGTGTGCTGCTGGTTAACCCCTTGGCCCCATCAGAACATTGAGGTTGACCACAGACACCTCTTAATTGATACGGTAGTTGGGTGGCCGCCATTCGTATACCGAACACAAGGTCGCTGCCATTTTAAAAACGCAAACGCACAGTGGTGTTCGACGCCAAACTCATGGAACTCAAAACAGATACATTTTGGCACGAACACCGCTGAAGCCGCCGACGTCCCTTCTTGTTCGGTAGAAAGTGCATGAACGGCCCTAGATTCTGTAGTTTGCACCTGAATACACCATACCCCAGATAGGCATCCCATGGAGCCCATTCGTATGAGAACTGACTTTGTGAACTCTTTGGCTCCACGGCAATTGGACTGTGTGCATAGGATCTGAGTGCTATTCGGTACTTTGGTGCGCTCAGATCCTAGCTTTCTGGGGACCTGTTGAATGCCTGTAACATGTTGTAAAATGTAACAGTTATGTATTTTTATGGTTTTTTTGTTATCGTCACCTAAAATGGCATTTAGGCTGGGAGATAATTGAATTACTTCACAATTATCTCCCCAGGCAGAGCAGAGGGTTCTGGGTAAGGAAAGGGGAATGGCTAAGTGTGTACCCTGTGATTGGTTGCTACAATGTCCTTGTCACAGTCCCCCATTTGGTATCCTAGGGGAGTGTCACCAGATGGGAGACTTGCACAAAAGCCGGGCATGTAGCCTTCATTAAACCAGATTCCTGCTGACCCTCAATACGGAGCTTTGTCTCGTCATTGAGGGGATTATTCGTATGGAGTAAACTTGTTTGGCTGTTTGGGAGAATACTTGATTTGTGTGATTGCTGTTCGACTGTTTGGGAAACTAATTGATCCGTACGGCTACTGTTCGGCAGTTTGGAGCTCTCAGTGGCTACCTCTACGTTTGGTAAGGGAACGTCCTATACGGCTGTAACCCCTCTCCTACCGGGGGAGCCGTAACAGGTTGGTCGTGCTGTTTTAAGTTCAAATGCTCCCATCGTGGGGGCTCACTCTGCCTCCTGCTGCTTCAAGAGGGGTAAGTCCAGGGAAAAAGGGATGTGAGGGCGCAGGGCGGCGACGCCAGTGCTCGTAAACACGATGCGCCCATGACTCGACTGCTATTGGAATCGGCAGGCAATGGGGCTCCTGCTGGAGGGGGTCACCCGAGGCTTCGGGATCCCCTTCTTGGAGCGCCCGGCTTCAGGGCGGTGCGGGCCTTGAAGAAAAGGTTAAAAGAACTTTGCATGCATAGCTTGGTGAAGGTCGAGACAGGGGAGATATGATACACAATTTACATAGTTAAAGGAAATCCTCAGTAGGGAGGAGACTATGTTTAAAAGAAGTAAAACTTCCGCAATAAAAATACATAGTCTTAAATTAGAGTGGCGAAGGTTTCACAATCGTACCCATATGTATTACGTTACCGGAAGGGTAGTGCATGCATGGACTAGCCTTCCAGCTGAAGTGGTAGGGGTTAACACAGTAGAGGAGTCTAAGTGGGTGTGGGATATGCGTAAGGCCAGGGACTAATGTCAGTAGTTAGAAAATTGGGCAGACTGGATGGGCAGAATGTTCCTTATCTGCCGTCACATTCTATGTTTATGCTTCTAAGTCTGTGCTCGACTTCCCGCAGATGGTGCTGGATAAGCTCCTGCGGGAGGTAGCTTTGGGGTGGTTCGCAGGGTCAGTTGAGGCCCCATAGCTCCCCAAATTGCAGGTCCCCCTAGGGCCTGGTGCCCAAGTAGGAGGCAGGGGATTTTTGGCTGATTCATCGTTTGCCCTGCCATCAAGGGGTTTCGGTGAAAGATGTTGGGTGTCCTAAGCATCCTTTGCATGGTCGGGGCAGTGGGCCCTTGGGCTTTGCTAACGAAGGCTGACGTCGGAGCCGCGTTTTGCTTGTTGCCAGTTCATATGGATTGTCATCATCTCCTGGGTGGTGGGTTTGTGGACAGTATTATGTGGATACGTGCTTCCCGATGGGTTGTTCATATCCTGCTTTTACGTTGAGTGCGTCAGCGCTTTCCTGGAGTGGGTGCATTTTTATCCGGCTCACGAGAGGATTGCGTGTTGACCTGGTGGTCTGGGTTTCCTTCCTGACCGAGTATATTGGGTCATCTTGGCAGGCGCCGGAGGTGTCCAGTTCGGACTTGCCCCTCTATATGGCTCTGTCTGGTTGGGGCGATTCTGGGATTGCGCTAGTGTGCTGACATGGATGGCGGCTTGACCAGGAATTTTGCCTTCCTGGAGCTTTCCCATTGTGGTGGCATTGGATTTATGGGGTCGAGAGCTACAGGACCGTCAGGTTGTTATTCACCGTGCCAACCTCGGGGTTGTCCAGGCGATTAGCCAGCTTTCGGCCCCCCTTTTCTCTTTTGGTACTTACCCTGCTCCAGCGCCTCGTGCTCCGGTGCTCGTGTCTTAATATGTCATGTAGGTACAGTTCCTCTTGGGCCAAAGTACTCCAGAGTATGGGTGGAATGGCAGGCGCCGGAGTCAGAGGTGGGTGTATTTGCGGGTTCGCCTGTTTGTTACAAGGTCTGTTGTGATTGCTGGAGTGTTGGGTTTCGGTGGATATGTCACCCTCCGGGGTGTCCTTGCGCATGTCCAGTTTAGTTTTCTGGTTAAGTCTCAGGGTTGGGTGGCTGTTACCACGAAGTTTCTGGTATGGCATGCGGTGTAGGGCCCGTGCAGGGTTCGGTTTCTTTGGATCCAAAGAGGTCGGTTTTGGGGGCCCTAAGGGCACAATTGAGCCAGGTGCTCCCAGAGGCATGCCTCGCTGTTTCTTCATTTCTTTGGGGCTATGAGGATTGGGGTATTCAGCCGGTACGGGAGGATTCTGTTTGCGGATGTCCAGGATGGTCAGGACCTGGTTTCCTTCACTTGTCCATACAAGACTCACATCCTCTGCAAGGGCAGGTGGGACCCACTGGCAACGGTCCCAGGATTGGACACCTGTCTGGTCAGGGCGCTCAGTGAGTTCACGGTACGGCCATCCCTGGCTGGCCCGATCATGGTATACGAGGAGGGGAACTTCATCTCCCATTTTCAATTTGTTTGGGTGGGGGGTGTCATTGGTTCTGGTCATTCCCCCTGGGGGGGTACTGACCTGGGGACGGTGCCGCTCGGAGACTTGGTGGACATGGGGAAGCGGGACTTGTTCCAGATCCTTATGTCATTTCCGTTTTTTTTTTTGCATGGTGTGGTCGGAGGTTGTGGCGAGGAACTATTGGCGGCAAGCACACAGCCGGAGTGAGGTTGGAGCGCTGCCGTGAAGGGTTCAACCGTTGGGTTTCGCAGTTCGTTATAGGGATTTGGGGGATGCCCATTTCATCAGGTTTTGAGAAGGAGGTGGCAGATTTGTTGCTGCCGGATGGGGTTCATTTGACTGAGGTCGGGCTCGACTGTTTTAATCTGGCCATTCGAGAGATGGTGGAACAGGCCATGGTTGGTTTGTTTGGGGTCCCCCGCTGATTTTAGGCTTAAAACAGCGGGGTTGTGGCGGGAGTGTCCTTGTCAAATAAGGGATGGTTTGGAAGATTAGATGAAAAAGGGAGATAATGGCCGGGTCTCATCCTCCCCCTGTCTCTTATGGTGAACCTGGAGGAGGTTCCAGGTTGGACGTGTCCCCACTGGGTTGTAAGTCGACCAGTGGGGAGCATTATGGTTGGGCCCCACCGAGTTGGTGGGGAGCCCTGAAAAGGAAGATGTTTTTATTATGCCAAGGGGGGGAGGTGAGAGCCTTGGGGAAGTTAGATTGGCAAGGACGGTTTCTTTGGTTACTGTATGACTATATGCAAATTGTTTATGTTAATTTATGATATTTATTATTTCGTTATATGTTAAAGGAGTTACACAGTATTTGGTTGTGTTAATAAATGCTGTGGCCTGTTTTCTCCAAGAAGTTGTCTGTCGTTATTTGAAGGGGTAAATTATGGTTTTATGGGGGATGAAGGGAATGCTATCCAATGCCCACTATGTACATACATGAATATTGAAACCATTGAGCCAAACCATGTATTAAACCTCATTCATTGGGTGGTCATGTTGTTAGGGAAACTACTAATCCAAATGTAACATTTGATTTCCAGGGATACCAGCAGGTCTCTGGGATTGTTGTCATTGAAAGGCTGCCTCAGGACAATTTATCATAATTTTAATTATGTATTATACAATTGTTTCCATCCAAGGTATGTACCATTTTGCACTATACATTGTTGTGCTGCAATTAATATGTGTCTCATGCAAACTTTTAGTTGGTTGCTATAATTTTTGGGAATATTAACAATAAGTAGGATTGAGGGTTAAGAGGGAAATTGATATAGAATGTGTGAAGGAATGCCCTGTCATTCGGTTCGTTAATATTTGTTTTTCCCTGTTCGTTTTCTCGTTCAAAACCCCCCTAGTTCGGTTTCAGAACGAGGACCACCCCAACATCTAATTAGAACGTGGAAGACAAAGTATACAGTGCGAAACCACAATGAAAACTATTAATAAAATTCTCCTCTGGGTGGCCGACAGAATGGATGGCGGACATTTTGTCTCCTGAATGCAGGCAGCGGTACCTGGTCATCGAGTGCCTGGAACTGATTTCGACGAGGCACTCCTGCGAACAACGGTGAAGATGGAGCTTCTGTCCGTTCAAATTCCCAACCACCTATAAGAACGGCATTTGGGAGATATGAACTACCGATTGGGGGGAGTATTCGACACTTGAAAGCATTCGGATATTGTGTGTGGTTTTTGTATAGAAATCCTCGAACTGAGACCGGCCATTGCCACATTTTCTCTGGAACTATTTTGGGCTTCTACCTTGTGTTTGGCTGGTCAACATTTTCCCTCGATAGCGATTCCAAACCACCGAATCGATCGGAGTGCTTTTTGGATAAGTTATGCACTCAGATCATGGATATCTGGGAATGTGACTCTCAAGGGATTTTCATGGATTTTGGGGGTACTTTTGGGTGTTGAAAATTTGTCATATTTTTTCGGTACCTGGAAGATAATTGAATTGTAAGTTTCCTGCCTCAATTATCTCAGGCACAGGGAGGAGTATGTATAAATTGTGAGTGCTTGCCTGAAATAAACAGATCTACTCCCAGCATTCAGTCTCAACTAATGTATGGGGGGAAAGGCTATACCAGCAATATTTACTTTCATGACTGATAAAACTGTTACTTTGGGAAAGGGAGTCTGTGGCGGCGATATACTGGCGGTCTACCACACAATGGTATAAAGAAGTTGTCAGATGCCCACCAAAGAGGTAAAATACCACCAATAACTAGAATTAGAAGCTCGAGATAATTATACATAATTAATTGTAGCACATATAGACTAGACTTGGAGATTGAACAGCAATTTGTCAGAATTTGGGTCAGTTGAGTGACTGGTCAACATTCTAATTTCATGTGTCAGAATTTGTGGGGAACCGACTCACTAAGGCCGTGCATTCACTGTTCAGTTACTAAATTGTATGATGTGTTTTATTTATTTATTGATTGGACTGTTTCTCCCATCAAATCAATATGTAGAAAAAAGATATGATTGATGGACAGCCACTAAATGCTGATTTTATTCACAGATCAAGTGAAAACTGACAAAATAGGAGCAGTAAAGCAATCTATACTTCAAAACAGGATTCTTCCAAACACTTTGACTGCAATCTCTGAGGGAGATGGACCAGCAGTGATACTTGTTTGTTTTATCCTTTCTGTGCCTGTGTGGGAGATAGTCTGGGTCATGGATTCTAGGCTTAGCTTGCACTGATAGGAGGTTGACATTTTGCCATTAATCTTAAAGAGACTAGTTTATTACTTAGCAATATACAGTTGCTATGCTATACATAAAAAAGTGATAGTTGCTGGGAATTAAAACTGGGAACTCATATATAAAGACACAACAGGCAAGACGTGCATTTCCCATGTTCCTGCATTCTTGGAAAATGTTCCATTGACTTTTTAAAAAAATATATTTTTGTGCATGCATAATTAAGCTGTGGGTGCATGTGCTGTTCTCTGTGTGTGAAAAGGATTTGTTGTGTTTGGGGCAAATTAGGGGCTGTAGCATGTGACAATATAGGCTGTAGGGTGTGTGCATGTGGCAGGGGCTATACTCAGGGCCGGTGCATGTATAAGGCGGCACAGGCAGCCGCCTTATGACGCACCAGCCCATGGGGCGCTTGATTAGAGAGACTGACAAGAAGGAAGCGCAAATCGCTCCCTACCAGTCACTCAATGTAGCATGGCCGAGCAGAGCACACTGTGGTAAAGGAGCTTCCGTTTACTGTACCCAGCCAGACTGATGAGAGCTCACTGAGTACCCAGCCAGACTGATGAGAGCTCACTGAGAGAGCACTTCCTGTCAGGCCGGCCGGATACAGGAATGCCATGCTACAAATGCCATTCATCAAATGTGAGAAAGGCTGAACTTGATGGACACATGTCTCTTTTCTCCCTATGTAACTATGTAACAAGAGAGGTATTGAGGCATACAAGGGAGGGGAGTGGACCACTAAGGGGGGGAGGGTGAGAGAGAGGAACACTAAGGGACAGGGGAGGGAAGGGAAAAGGAACACTCAGGGGGAGGGGGAGAGGAATACTTAGGGACAGGGGAGGGAGGGGATAGGACCACTAAGGGACATGGGATCGAGGGGAGAGGAACACTAATGGACAGGGGAGGGATGGAGAAGGAACACAAAGGGACATACATAGGTTATGGTATAAGGGGTTGGGTACTATAGTGCAGATAGTAGAAGCTGTAGCAGGGATTATTGGGTCCCAATGAGACCATGGCCACATGTAGCACATTGACAGGGGTGGTATTTTGCCCCCCTGTACACGTTAACTAGTCTGTTGTACAGGGCCTTGGCCATCCAGCAGGAGTGCAGGGGTGGCATAGGAGCTGTAGTGGTGAGTTGTGGTGAATGCAGGGGTGAATGTAGTGGTGAGTAGTGGTGAGTCTGAGGTGAATGCAGGGGGGCATAGGGACTGTGGTAGGTGCAGTGGGGCAGGGCCGGTGCAAGGACTTCTGTCTACACAGGCGAAGACACATTTTGCTGCCCCGAAAATGTATCTTCACCTGTCTGTCTAATATTCCCACTTTTGCCCCTCTTACCAATTATTTTGCCCCTTTGCATCTTACCACCTTTTTCTCTTGTTTTCCTTTTTTGTATATTGTATCCTGTCTGGCATTATTTTTTACGTGTTTTGTGTCTTCATCCTACTTTTCTTTACCCCCTTGCGTCACACACTCACTCGCTCATACACACACACACACTGACCATAACACACACACACTGACCATTACACACACACACACTGCTAATACACACACACTGGCTCTAACACGCACACACACTAACTCTTACACACACACACACACACACACACACACACACTAACTCTTACACACACACACACACTAACTCTTACATACACACACTGGCTCTAACACACACACATTAACACACACACACACATACACTGGCTCTAACACACACACTAACTCTTACATACACACTAACTCTTACACACACACACACTAACTCTTACACACACACACACACTAACTCTTACATACACACACACACTAACTCTTACACACACTTACTGTTTGTTATAGTTGCAAAACAGAGGTCCCGCTGTACTGTTGTAGCTTTCCTCCTCTCTCCACAGCAGTTGGCCGCCGGGATATGATGTCACGTATCCCAGCGGCCTGTAGCTCAGGAAGAGAGTTGCCGCGGTCGCTCCTCGCTGTTCCGCCCACTTCCCTCAGTGGGTGCACGTTTCTCAGCCAGTTGGGCAGATAGCTGCAGAAATTGACCGGCGGGAGCGGAGTTCTCCGTGCTCCCGCCAGTCACTCGGACATTTTTGCGCCCCATGGGTCCGTGCGCCCTAAGGCGGCCGCTTGTGCCGCCTTATGGTAGCGCCGGCCCTGCAGTGGGGTACAGAGGCTGAGGTGCATGCAGGGAGGGTATAGAGACAGTAAAAAATATCTGCCTCGAGTGGTTAGTCCGCCCCTGCACTGCACTCACTACACACTCTGCATCATCTCTACACATACAAATCCACCTTGCATCCACTATAAGCATATACTGCATTGACTTTACTTATCCATGTAGATGGACTCAAGGGTGAGCCGGGCAGCTCCACGCCTGTGTAAAATTTCTGATGGATCCCTGTCCGCAGCAAGTGTTTATCTGCTTTTCTGCAGACCAAATGTATCGCTTTTTCTCCTCCGATTGGAGGTTTAATAAATTGCCGCCTTTCGCCCATACACATAAGCTGGTATGCAGCAAGTGTTTATCTGCTTGTCTGTGGATTGAATGTAGAGCTTTTCCTGGAGGTTAAAATCTCACGTGAATGTGGGTAATCAGAAGGAGCGCGGTGACATCATATGTCCCATTAGCTTTCTGTGACACTTTCTCCTCAGCAGGTCAAATAAAAATGCTGATCTGCTTATTAAATCATTTGTGTGACAGTTATTGTTACTGGTTACTAAATAAATACTGTGACTATAATAAATGAATATAAACGTTAAACATTAATACTTATGTTAAGGGGGCGTGGCTAGCGACAGCATGGAGTAGTCACAAGGAGAGAGTGCTCCTTGAACCACCAAGCCTATAGCTACTAAAAATAAGCCACTAACGCACAAAAATCCATATTCTGGGAGCACTTACCTCCATTGACCTGATGGCACCCTCCAAGCAGCTCAAAATAAGGGACCCAATCTGATCCAGCAAAAAAGACCACCCGCAGCAAAAACCAAGATGGCGACAACTCAGCCACACACTCGGCAGACCTAAGTAACCTTTCAGAAGATGAGGCTCTGCAGCTATCCCATGGAGAAACCCCTGTCACCAATCAGAGCATATATACCATGCTGCAAGACCTTAAAGAATCACTCCGGTCTGACTTTTGGCAAATCACCAAAGACATGCGGAGGGACATCCAGGAGCTGGGAGGCCGCACAAGCAGTTTAGAATCTAAGACAGAGGAGATCTGCTCAGCCCACAGTGATATAGTAGACCAATTGAACAGGCTAGAAGAGGAACAGACTGCTCTGAAAATGAAAGTGGCAGACATGGAAGATAGGTCACGTAGAAACAATCTCCGCTTTAGGGGAATAGCAGACACCATTTTTGCAGAGGCCCTTCCATAGTTCTTAAAGGCCTTATGCATGGCCCTGGAACTGCAACTCGAGGCCACATCCTGGACCTTTGACAGAGTACACAGACTCCCCAGGCCTGCCAGAGTCACAGTGACCGAAAGATGTGATTGCACGTTTCCACTACTACAAATCTAAAGAAGAAATACTAAATGCGACAAGGAAAATGGTGCAACTAGCGGAACCATACCAAGGGATCAGTATATTCGCCGACCTCTCAGCAACAACCATGGCGCGAAGGAGAGAATTCATCAATATAACCAAAACTCTGAGGAACCACCAAATACCATACAAATGGGGATAGCTGACTAAACTGCTGGTATGGCATAGAGGCAAAACGGAGGTATTCCTAGAACCGGAGGTTGGCATGGCAAAACTTAAGGAATGGAGTCTGCATCACAACATGGGACAGAACTCTCCCCAGAGTTCACAGCCGAAAAAAATGAGAGCTGAATGGACAATGGTGGGGTCCCCAACGAGACCAACCCCGTACCAAATGGACTAAGAGACTAACCGAACCATGGCCTCCCAGAGTCACTCCGAGCACTTAAGTATCAAGCATTACTATTAATATATTGTATTGTCCCCCTGTGTTAGACGTGTTGATGTAACTCTTGCCAGCTAACTGTAAAGTCAAGTAGTTTCTACCTGAAGTACTATGCGTAGCTCCCCCGGGGGCCCACTGAATGAGGACGAAGTACTAATTAGACTAGGCTAGAACTAATTAGAACTGGCACTTAGCTACAAGGCATTGCAAGGGGTCACAAAATATAGAAGGGTA